GTTGCCCCCTTGTGCCTGTTTTCTTTCCCCTTGGCTCTAGTTAGTTCTATTCACACCTGCTCCATATCAGCTCATTAGTCCATCCTTTGTTCTCTTCCCCATATGTGCACCACCTCTGCAGTTCCTCATAGCTTGTTTCTTGTTGATTTGTTTTTTAATCATCTCTTTGCTACCTATGTGTGTTTTCCATGATGTCTCCTGGATTTTTTGGTTTTCAGTATTTTGTATTTTTGGACTTTGCTTCAGTTGGCCATGGGATTTTCAATTAAATCAGCAAAACTATTCTCAGCCTCCTCATCTCTGCATTTGTGTCCTCAAAAATCTCCACCAAACCTTGGCAGCTGTTTTATCATTTCCAAATATTTCAGTGAGCTGGTTGAATCAGTTTAAAATTTAACTTTTGATCTAGGAATGCATGAAATATCGGTATTAATACATTTTTTAGCATTTCAATATCGTCATAACAGTAAACCGGGTCCCATACCAACAACCAATGTTTATTTTCATCTAGTTGCTGATTCCTTTCCATGGGGAGGATTAGTTACATGGTGATTGTCAGGTGACAGTGATTTTACAGTGTCCAAAAGGTAAGAAAATATATAGTACTGGTTATAATCAGCCATAAATGCAGCAGTGATATCAGATATAGATACTGACCCAGATTTACATATGGGTGCATCAAATCTTTAAGTTCCTCATTTTATTTTCAAAAAGAGCTGATGCTCTAGTATTATAAATCTGGATCATTTATTTAGCAGCTGTTGACAATTTGTGCTTAATTTATCCCTCTATTTTATGGCAGACATGCCTTTTTTGGGTTTTTGAGGGTGGGATAAATCATGTTGGAGGGCCGGATCGAGCCCTCGGGCCCTGAGTTTGACACATATGATCAAAATTAAACTCATTATTCAGGAGCCACGAAATGTTAGGACACCCACTGTGAAATATTAATTTGAATACATATCAAATTTAACCAGAAAAACACTCTAAGAGCGCAGACATCTGCTCAGCAGCAAACTTTCCCCCATATTGTGTCTAAAATCTTTAGCTAAAACTCACATGTTTTGGATCATTAGGAAATTTGAATGAAATTCTTTCTTGACACGAGGCGCGCCTCTGGTAAAAAAAAAATATTTTAAAATCCCATCATAACTTTTCAAGTTATCCTGTACAGAGACAGACACACAAACAAACTCTCCTAAAAGCATAATGATAAAAACAATTATATAAACCATATATATTTAATTATATGTTTTATTAAAAATACAATAATATTAAATCCCAGTAAAAACAGAACAAAAATACTTTTTAAAACATTTTAAAATGCAATAAAGATTAGATTTCTGGTAAGGATTAACTTAGGAAAACCTCATATTTTTCCAGCCTAATCGCTCACAGACACAGCTGGTGCACATTTACCTGATGCTCAGCATTGTGAGAGTTTTACCTCTGAGATTAGAGGACATTTGAAATTGTAAACATGTTCAAGCTGCTTGACCAAAACACTGGAGCAAAGGTTCCCAAACATTTTCAGCAATTAAGCCATAAAATGGAACCAAAGTCAATCCATGACCCAAACAAACATTTCTATAAATCCAATTACCCAAAGGTCTGATAATATTACAAACAGCATCACTAACTAAATTTGTTTTGCCCATTTTTAGGTGATGCTATCTTTAACCACTTTTATTGTTTAATTTATGTAGTAAAGTTTAATTAAGCTTCAACATTTGTCCCTCATTAAGATGCACAAATACATGAAAATATGTCTCATTTGTTTTTACTTATCTTGGATGAATTTAGTGTAAGTGAAAAGTGTAATGTGTTTTACATTAGTTCAAGTTATCAGGCATCAAACAGTTTCCAGCTGAAAAAAATACACTCTTTATTCAGTATATCTTTACAAAAATCCCATATTAAATGTATTGAATGTAGCATTAATATTGAAAACAACAGAGACACTTTAGAATTTTTTTTTCCATGAAAGCTCAGTCCTTTCTGAACATGATCACTTCATTGGTCACATGGTGCAAAAACAATGAGATGCATGTATTATGGTGGACAAGGTTGCTGTACAGCGCTGAGCTGGATTTATTGTTAAAAGTGTTAAATAATTCCATGGCAAATAATCTGTGTTACATAGAACTAAAATAAAAGAAATCCCGAAGAAACTAGAGTAGACAGTGAACTAAATGTTAAATTAAATGCTTAAAACTATCTTGCTTATCATTTTAGACCAAATTTACTGGGGTGGGGTACTGTTTTTTTTTTATGGGGGCACAAAACAATATATAAAAAAAAAAAAAAAAACAGGGCAAAATAATTTTTTTTGATATACTAAGTGAACCAAAGAGCCATTTGTGGCTCTGGAATCCCTTAAAATGAGCAAAAACAAGCTATCACAGTATGACTGATGCTAAAAGTGCAACAACTTCGTATTTCAAATATCAATAAAGCAGAAAAAAATAAAAACATGAATTAGCCCAAAGTTCCTATCAATTCTGGGTTCTGTTCCAGTGCATATCAAAAATTATTCATGATAAACTGACACTGTGTCGTGTTATTGGTACAGGGCCCAGGACCAGTACTACAGGAACTCTGGCCCCTAGAACCATCCCAGGTCCAAAACCCTTTATTTTTTAGAGACCAATAAACAGAAATGGAGCCAAGATTCAAGGAGCTCAAAATAAAATCCTTAGGTTTCTCTTTTTGTCTTTGCATCTTTAAAACAACATTTAGTACAACTTTCGCAATAATAATGCATCCAATCATTTCTGCAGACACCTTCTGTTGAATGTTTTTTAACAAAATGCTGAAAACCTTTTTTTTTATATATACAGAAATCATGTTGAAAATACGGGGCACAAAAATATAATATAACACATTTTCAAACACTAATTGATAAAAGAACTACTGCAAATAATTAAGTGCATCACCTTTACACTTTTCACTTATAGATATTTTTTCTCAGAACTCCTGCACCTGTCTTTTGTACCTACATAACTTCAAGCAACTGCTGCGAACTTGAGTTAAATTCAGACCATATATAATCGGGTTCAGCATTGGGGGGATAATCAGAAACTGGATTGCCATGAAGTTCCTTAAGCTCTGCGGCACAGAATCGGATCCATATCGAGCGTACATGACGTCGAACAGAAGGGCAGCGGTGACATTAATCAGGCACATTAGATGCGGCGTGCACGTCTGCAGGAACTTCCTCCTGCGTTCTGGATACTTTAAAGAAAACTTCACTAACTGCACATAGGAACACAGAATAGATAGAGCATGGCCAGTGTACAGAAGTATGACAATATATCCAACAATATTATTCAATGTTATTGATTCACACGAAAGTTTAAGGATGGACCAGTTCTCACAGTATAGTTTATTAATCTGGAAACCACATAATGTCAGTTTGGAGGTCATGATCATCACAATAGCCTGACAGATCATTGGCACCAATCTGGAGAAACACACCAACAAAACAACTCTTTGTTTAGTCATGATAGAATGATACTCCAGAGGACGGCAAAGGGCCAAATATCGATCGTAACACATCACAGCAAGGATGGAAAAGTCTGTTGTTGCATAAGAGTAGATGAAAAAGACCTGCAGCAGGCAACCAGCGTAAGATATGACATGACTATTGGACAGCAGGTCAAATAGGAATTTAGGGTGAAAAGCTGCCGTCCCGTAAAGACTGTTAAAACACAGATTACACAGGAAGACGTACATGGGTTGATGAAGTTTTTTCTCTAATAGGATGGTAAGAATAAGAGCCACATTCACCAGTATGATCAGAATGTAACACAGCAGTGTGAGAGCAAAGATCATCAGGCGGTACTTTGCTTTAGTGTCCCTCAGTCCCAGCAAAGTGAATGAACCTAACATGGTTGCATTGATCATCATTCACCTGCCTCCCAAAAATCCCTCTGAGCAAATTTGTCTTTCAGTCCCTGATCCGGCTTTTTCCATGAGCATCTGATGCAAGGTGTTAAGACGATAAGCTGTGAGGGATGCAACAAACCACTCCCTATCCATAAACACTCAGTCTGTCCCCTTTAACCTACAGCGTCACCAATCACACTTTAGTTCATCTCTAGAGCATAAGTTCACTAAATCTTTAAGAAAATGTCTAATTGCAGCTGTTAAACTCTTTAATGCACATACAGATTTAAAGTTTATAACATAACTTTATAAAAAAAACAAATAATTTTTTTTTAACCAAATAACATCAAGTCAGACTAAAACTTTTCATCTTGGATTACCAGAATGATTTGCTTAATGCCAGGATAAAGACGTGTTCTTTTTATTTTCTATAAATACTTTATTTGTGTTTGACTTGAACCAAAAATATGGGGTATCCAGATTGGTCCATTGCTTTTGTTGGAATGTGACGGTTCCACAAGCTGTTGCTGAGAAATTGCTGCAATCATGGAATCGATGCAACTTCTTTTGATAGAAAACTGACTGTTTGCATGAAAAAAATAAACCTAACTGCATGAATACCTAGTGCTAATTTGGATGATATGAGAAAACACTTCATATATTTCAATATAGTCAAACATTTTGTGGCATTCTTTTCTTAATGCTATTTTTAATTGTTGCTCCTTTG